TCTTTTAATTTTGTATTTTGTTTTTTTATACCTAATTCTATTATTTTTGATAGTAACTGTTAACTGCAGATCGAAAATCTTCTATTGTGTACATTTTATTTCGTTTGATCACCTTGGTTTTTGGTGCCATTCATGCAAGTTTTTTAATGAACCAATTACGAACGTTTGTGCGACATACATTTTATTTTGCTTCGTCCAAATAAATATAAATCATAAATATAAATTTTTGCTAAAAATTAAATAAAGCATGTATGTATCTATTTGGGAAAATAAAATAACAAACTTGTTACGTCTTTTTCTGGACGTGATCATTACTTGTAAACAACTGATGTCGCCGCTTGAGGAATCGTGCAGCTAAAATCAGCTGATTGTACGTGCTGACGTTTACTTAATAGCTCTTCAAAATTCCTATTCATTTTGTAATAATAAATATATATTATGCATATGTAATAATATGTAGATTAATAGGTTTTTTGGTTTCCATTTTTCAACATCCTTGCCAATGATGCACGTTACAAATGTGCCACGCCCACTTCACATTGGTGCGCCCTGTTTAATTTTCAAACCGTGGTATTCCCCATTGCGGGACTTGAACTTCTCAGAGGCATCGAAGGTAGTTTAGATGCCCAACGAATTTACCTTAAGGGCGTTTTGAGCTGTATTGAAAATTGTATATCATGGTTATAGTCATGCTTTCATAATTATGGGTTATTGTCATCAGGAATTCAAGATACAATTAACAGTACATGTAGAGGTAATTTTTGTTTTGGCCCAAAACAAATTTAGAAACACTATGCAAATTTTGAGTAATAAACTTAAATATTTCAGTGAGCAAAAATACATGAAATTGTAATTAATACAGTCTTGTGAAAGATTATGATTTTCTGTCGTATAAATTAACTCTGTGATTAATTAGTGATTTAGTTCATCTCATCATGACCACTGGTCACAAATGTCTGTGAAAGGGTAGTGGTCTTTGTACCATGCATGCGCTAGTTACATGTTTGTGTTCCATATGAACAAAAGGTGATGACTGCGCAGATCAATGACTACAAAGAAGAGCTGTTACCAATGTTTAATTCATGGCACAAAGGAAAGAGTAAAAGTTGGTATTTTTTGCACATCACGCCCAGGTCAAAACTCTTATTCGTATTCGTGAGAGCCCATTGGATTGTGGAAAAATCAATATTTAGCAACACAAACCTCACACATGTGATGACAACTGCTCTTTAATATGTTACTGTGTAATTACCACAGTATATTTATACCAAATACAGATCAGTCTGCTGAGGGATCCTGTAATGCAAGTAGTTTACTCCGGGAAATTGCCATATTATTCCAAAAGTGCTGAATTATATTTTATTACATCAATATCTCTCACATTATAAACATTTGTAATTAAAAAAATAATATTACTAATGTATGTAAAGTAGAACTACCTATTAATTGCTACAGGATCTTTATATGCGTGTTGTTCTTTTTGAAAGCTGTTTTTATTGACTTCTGTATGTTGTCCAGGTAAAGTGATGTAATTGATTACCGTGACTACTGGGTGTATTTGTGTAAAGTCATCAAGTGTCGACAAGAATAACAAAAGAAGTAGTGTCTGAGTCTTTAAATCATTGTGTACTAAGTGGTTAGTTGGTTAAAAGGTTAAAAGCGGTGACGTAGTTTTGAGTCAGACAGAGACTCATTGACTACTGACTGTAGGGATTGTGGGAATGGTCTTGATAATATGGTCTGACAACATCAACAACTCTCCCATTCTCTCTCTCCATTTGTTATATTGATTTCTCAATTGATGGACGTGGACATGGAAGTCTAATTCATCATCATTGGCATGAGATTCCTGATTGCAATGGAATCGGTTAAATGAATAAAGGTTATATAAAATATATGTTGTCAAGACTCAAATGAACACATGCTAAATTGTTTCTATGGTGACAATAGGCAAACACAAATTTATAGTTTTTCGTCTGGTGTTCACCTCACAATCATTTTTTTTTTAGCTCCGCTGTCGACTTTGTCGAGCGGAGCTTATCATATGAGTGATTGTCCGTCGTCGTCCGGTGTCCGTCGTCCGTGTCAATGTTTTACATTTTCGACTTCTTCTTGAAAACTACAAGTCTGAATGCTTTGATACTTGGTGTATATGTACCTTGGGTAGACCTCTCTCAGATTTGTTCATTTTATGATCATATCTTCAATTCTCTAATTTTGGTGAATATTTTTGTCATTTTTGGTAAAAAGTGATATTTTCGACTTCTTGTTAAAAACCGCAAGTCCAATTGCTTTGATATTACGTATACATGTACTACATGTGGATCTCTCTCAGATTTGTTCATTTTGTAATGATATCTTTAATTCTCTAATTTTGGTGAATATTTTTGTCATTTTTGGTAAAAAGTAATATTTTCAACTTCTTGTTAAAAACTGCAAGTCCAATTGCTTTGATATTACATATATAGGTACTACATGTGGACCTCTCTCAGATTTGTTCACTTTGTAATGATATCTTTAATTCTCTAAATTTGGTGAATACTTTTGTCATTTTTGATAAAAAGTGATACTTTCGACTTCTTGTTAAAAACGACAAGTCCAATTGCTTTGATATTACATATATATATATATACTACATATGGACCACTCTCAAATTTGTTCACTTTGTAATGATATCTTTAATTCTCTAATTTTGGTGAATATTTTTGTCATTTTTGGTAAAAAGTGATATTTTTGACTTCTTGTTAAAAACCGCAAGTCCAATTGCTTTGATATTACATATATATAGATACTACATATGGACCACTCTCAAATTTGTTCATTTCATGATGATATCTTCAATTCTCTAACTTTGATGAATATTTTTGTCATTTTTGGTAAAAAATGATATTTTCTTCTTGTTAAAAACCACAATCATTTATGGTCAAAAATGATATTTTTGAATTCTTGTTGAAAACAGCAAGTCCCATTGCATTGATACTATGCATATTGTTCATTTTCTAATGATATCTTCTGTTCTTTAATCTAAATGTGCATTGCTAACAGTGGTGCTATCTCAGCCGATAGGCTGCTTGTTTTTTTTTGTAATTTAGAATTTTTTCAAAATACATTTTTAATAATAATAGAACTCAT